GTACTAACTGTGATAGTTACAAAAATAGAAATGGCACAGCTAAAACGACAACCAACCATGCAGCAAATGACACAAAACTATGCGAGTCATATAAATATTTCTTGTCTAGAAAAATTAGTACCACGGACTATCCCTTCAACCCTATCTCAAACAAGTCAGCATCAAACTGAAAGTCAGCTTCACATAAATCAGTTGACTTTAATTTAATTTTAATGGATATGGACAACATTTTGGATGAGTTTGAACCAGTGGAGAAGGAAGTGGACGATGTGAAATGTATCAATGATCTGCTGAATATTGGGAATTTCACAATCCTACATGTGAATGTTAGAAGCCTGAACGCAAATTTTGAAAACCTGGAAGTCTATGTTGATAGCCTGGATATTAAACCTGAAGTAATCGCCTGTTCTGAAGCTTGGAATGTCCCATATGTGCAGTATTTTCATTTGAGTAACTATAAAGTATATTACAATAATAGTGTGATAAACAAAGCTGATGGTGTGGTTGTATATATAAAAGATGATTTGGTAGAGTACACAGAAGTGGAAACATTTCATCAGTTGCGCATCTTAAGCTCCACCATTGCTTTGTGTAGCAGAACCACAATAAAAATATCGACAGTATACAGATGTCATGATTTTGATAAGCCTTCTTTTGTGGATGCATTGAAAGCCTTTATAGACAGTAATAGGAATATCAAAAATCATTGTATACTGGGCGATTTTAATATAGATTTATTGAAAACAGATACCATTAATCAGGATTTTTTAAATAATTTTCTAGAAGCTAAATATTTGCCTTATTTCAGTGGAGTCACTAGGCCTTCTGAAGCTAATGATAGGCAGGGTTCTTGTATTGATAATGCCTTCATTAAGACTGTGGTTTTGAGTGCCCAGTCTTTTAAGGTTACTAATGTTTTTAACGATCATTATCCACTGTTTATACAAATCAAAAACAAAACAAGTAAACCAACTAAAGACAGTTTCAACTCTTTTTTAAATTATAAGAAACTCTTTAAAGAAGCTAATAAAATCAATTGGGAAGTCATACTTAACATACAAGAACCAGATAGTGCTATTGAAAGACTGGTAGATTTAATTAAATTAGCTACAAATAAATCAACTACCTATATAAAAAAAGGAAAAAATAGGAATACTGTAAGAAACAAGTGGATAACGAAGGGAATTATTAGGTCATGTAAAACTAAGGAATTTTTATACAGATTATGGAGAAAGAATCCTATAAATGATCAGCTCAAGCTAAAGTATAAGCAGTATGTTAAAGTACTGAACAAAGTAATCAAAAATGCAAAATATAGTTACGAAAGTAAAATAGTAGAACAGAAACTTAACAACACTAAGCAATTATGGGATTTTGTTAAAAGTAAAATTAATAATAAGAATAATAAAACGAATAATGACATTGAATATTTGATTGATGAGGGTAAAAAATTGGATACAAAAGAAGATATTGCTAATCACTTGAATAACTTTTTCGGTAATGTTGGTTCCACTCTGGCTAAAAAAATTATAAAGCCCAAAAATGCTGAACTTATAGGGAGGGATACCTGAGAATGACAAGACTCTCTATATCTACCCAACAGATAGTAATGAAATTAAAAAAATCATAACTCAAATGAAAGACAAAAGTGGGGGTGGGGATGGTATTAATGTTAGAACTATAAAAATAATTAGGGACTATATTGCTGGGCCATTGGAACATGTGTTTAATAAATGTTATTCAGTTAGGGACTTGGCCTAACATATTGAAATCCGCCGTTATTGTACCTATATATAAGGCTGGTGATAGGCATTGTGATACTAATTATAGACCGATCTCTCTTATATCTAGCATTGCTAAAATTCTAGAGAAAGTAATTCATTTTAGGTTGTATGGTTTTGCCTCAAAATGTAAATTAATATCTGACAAACAGTTTGGTTTTGTAAAGGGTAGAGGCACAAAGGATGCTTTAAATTATGTTTTGGATGTTGTTTACAGAAGTTTAGATAAGAGTAAACCGGTACTTGCAACTTTTTTGGATCTTGCTAAAGCCTTTGATACGGTAAATCATGATATACTATTGGAGAAATTGAATAAATACGGTATAAGGGGAGTGGCTCTAAATTTATTTGAAAGCTATCTGTCAAACAGAAAGCAAACTGTTAAATTGTCAAATTACTGCAGTCAGCCTGTAACTGTAACGCACGGAGTTCCCCAAGGCACAATCCTTGGGCCATTGTTGTTTGTATTGTATATCAATGATTTGCTGCTTCAACTGCCGTCAGAAACTATAGTATCCTATGCTGATGATACTGTGATATTATGTGCTGAGAATTCATGGAAGAAAGTGCAAGAAAGAATGAACAATTCGCTTAAGCGTGTTGATAAGTGGCTGGCACTAAATCAGTTATCTCTAAATATATTAAAAACAGTGTATATAGCTTTTGGAGTATATTGTGATAGTGTCCCTAATCAATTGGACATAAAAATAAACAATCACCAAATAAAAAGAGTAGAGAGTTGTAAGTACTTAGGTATTTATATTGATTATAGAGTAAGATGGGATATTCACATTGAATATGTTGTCAGGAGGACTAAATATCAGCGAGTGTCTATTATGCTTTCTTTCATAGTATATGTAACTATGGAATCATAGCCTGGGGAGGCGCATATAACAACGTCAAATGTACCTTGGAATCTCTTCAAAAGAGATTACTGAAAATAGTCCTTAAGGGTGATATGAATCTCCCTGTTCCACTGAAATTAGAACAGTCCTTTATTTTTGAGTCGCTTTCATTTCATTACGAGGATCTAAAAAGGAACTATATGCAATCTGAAAGCATAACAAGAAACAAATCTATCAACTTACCAAAAATAAATCGAACTTTATTCACTAAAAGTAGCTACTTAACTGCAATCAAGACTTTCAATAAACTTCCCAATAAATACAAAACTTTGAAGTACAATAATGAAACAGTCAAAAAAAAAATAAAAAAGTGGGTAAGGTATAATGTTGCAAGTGTATTGTTATTGTAGTAAGTCACTTATTAACAACCAGTAACTAGTAACTACTAGCTGATTATTTTATTGATTTTTATTAAATAATACTCCCCTGTATGAATAGCATTTTTGTATGCATTATTTTGGCAAATTATATGTGTCTATAGTTCCTAAGTTAGGTTAAGTGTATCCAGTCCTATGTATAGGTAACTTTGATTACCTCTATAGGTTTTGAAATGTAAAACATTGTAAAATTTACTGGAATAAATAAATAAATAAAAAAAATAAATAAAATATGTATCGACAAGCCGAAAATGTTCTATTTTAAAATTTTAAGTTTTTTTATAATCTGTAAATGCTACATGCGTTAATAAAGATTTTGATTTTTTTTTATTTTTTTATTTTGGCCTAATATTGATAATCATATCATAGAAACAGTACAAAATTGCCATGAATGTTCGAAGAACTAGAACCAGGTAATAATGACACTTCGAAAATTGTCAGACTTACTATTTCAGCATGTATCAGCAGATTTATTCCAGTACAGAAACCAAGTCTACTTTGTCATACAGGATGTGTACTCAAAATTTCCAGAAATTGTTACACTAAAGATAACTAAAAGTGAAGACATTATTGAAAAATTGAGAGAAATCTTTGGACGTTATGGAATTCCAGAGATATTATACAATATTGCAAAAACTCACAACCTCAACCACATAAAAAGTGGCCCCAGGTTTCCACAAAATAATGGTTCAGCAGAGAGAGCTGTACAGTTGGTAAAAAAACTGTTGAAAAAGTGTAAAGATCCTTATTATTATTATTATTTGGGAATATTAGCATACCACAATACACCACTTTCATCTGGAAACTCTCCTTCAGAACTACTATTTGGAAGAAAACTTAGAGAAATTTTACCTACCACAAAGAAAAACCTTACACCAAAACTGGTTGACCATGAAAAAGTTAGGAAGAAGCAGAGAGAGGAACAAGAAGAAATAAAGAAAAATTATGACTAGACATAGTTCACATAAAAGATGTGAAATGTACTGGAAACATTCTAAGACAATGTCGAGAACCACATTCATTTATGGTCCAGACTGAAGATGATGTTCTAAGGAGAAACAGAAAATTTTTGGTAAAACTACCTGAAATCAAGGAAAAGAATTTAAACATTATTCCGCCTTATGAATAAAGTGTAGCAAATGCTTTTACTCCTACCTATGTCTCTTTTTGCTGCATTGAAGTTGAATATGTTTATCTCAAAAAACTTAAGTAAAAGCATTTGCTTCTATTTTATTCATATGGCCATAGAAGAGAGAAAAAAGCGGAAATACTACAGAAATACAAGGATATGTGGAACCTGAAGGAAGACAAAGACAAGAAAAACGAAGACCAAAAACTTCTTTTTTGTTATTGTTAGTTGACATTCAAAGTTCTAATTATTTTATGTTAAACTCTGTAAATCTTCCTTTGGTAATGTATTACCTATATGATATTTTTATAAAATAAAGAGTGAAGATAGACTGTATGTTTTACTCCAATTCATTACCTATTCTCCACACAGTGAGATATAGACTACTATTTCAAAAGAGCTAATATTAGTCACGTTCACCAACACTCAACATGTTGAGTGATTTGTCAGCGGCTTTGTTGAAAACAGATGAAAATCAGCTCTAAGCCAATCAATACTGTTCTACCTTGTGTATTCCACTTGTTGGAACAAAGCCGCTTAGTAATCACTCAAAATGTTGAGTACTGGTGAACACGACCATTGTTACTAATTATTAAAATTAGGATACATACCACCAGAAATATCCTCATTAGTAGCTAAAAACAAAAAAGTGCGTCTATTGTCACCGATCATAAAACCCTAACTAATAAATAAAGTTTATAGCCAATAATACAATTATTTCCTAATCTCAAATTGCATTATTATCGTTTTCAACTAATTAAAAATGTAGATCAAAGGTCCCAAATTAAAACTAATTGATTGTCCTTACCATAATGTGCAGCCCGTAATAATGCTTGTCCAAATTCGATAGCCCCACCGTGTTTAAAAGTCATCTTGAATTTTGCTTCTCCTACCCAATTGCCATTTGGTTGAGCTCTCACTTTCCCTTTTATGTAATTGGCACCGAAAACTGGTTGTTCTATCTCCACCTAATTGCCAATAATTGCAATAATAATTGAATTTCGTAAATAATGTTTACGTACCTCGCTCAGGGTGACGAATGGGAAACTGAAACTTTGCATTTCGTCAGAAGCTGAGCCGTTGTTGAATATGACTCGGTGGGTTGTAAGGAAAATTCTACCATTTTTTTTGCTTCTGAACGAGGGGGCCTCTTGGCCGGACCATTCGATGTTTACATTATCGGAAAATAGTAAAATCCTAAATAAATAATTTGATGACTAATAATAATTGGAAAATGATTATAATTATTAACTTACTGTTCTCCAGAGTGTATCAAGACTCCGCCGTTAATGTGTGCCGTATTTAACGACATTTTTCCAGCTTTTTAAAACACAAACACACAGAAATTTGTTTTTTCTAGAATGTCCAGAAAACGATTGAAAAACAACAAGATTGATGAAGATTGTAAATATTGGAAAATATGAATGACATCATTGCATCATTCATTAATCATTGGGTGACTTTTTAGTGATGTGATGGCAACACTGTTGTTCTGTGGTTCAATGCCAAGAGATGTCGCCACTATATACAAATTACAATTATTTACAAAACATTTTTATTTGATAAACAAAATACAAGATTATTGATTATTTATTACTACTTTTAATATTTTTTTTTCTGTACTGATTTGCCTTCCTTTATAGTTTTTTCACCCGCTTGTTTTTCATCATGTAAACGCCTCTTCTTTCTCAACAACCAAATTTCTTTAGCTCGTTTCTCTTTACCCTCCATCATGCTCTTGTACAATTTCTTGTGTTTTTTCTTGACCATTTTTTCCCTCAAACGGTATTCTTGTTTCTCTTGCCTGCTCTTCTCCCATGGGACTTCTTTGTAAACTTCTCCTTTAGTAACTGACAATTTTGACTTTGTTGTAACTTCTTTAGCATCTTCATCAACTTCTTTTGCCTCATCTTCTTCAACTTCATCATCACCCTTATTAATAGCTTCTTGATCTTTTTTATGTTGCTGCTCCAACAAAGTAGGATCATACAAAGCCCTTTCTTCTGGAGGAATGTATTGCTGATCCCTTTCAGGATCATTGAATGGTGATAAATGCGGTGGCAAAATTTCGCCCATAAAATATTTATTCACAGGCAGTAAATCTCTAGCATTTATACTGTCAAAAATCCATTGAGGTTGAATATAGTAACGTGAAATAAATTGATTGGGCATTGAGGGCCTGTCTACAATTTGATGAGTGATTGATTCATCATTTTCATCAAAAGTTGAACCTTAAAATAATCACAGCATTATTAATATATTTGTGATAAAAAAAAAATGCAACTCCTTACCAACAAAAAGTGTTTTATCCCAAGAAACTTCTCCACCAAAACATCTAATAGCAAACACCAAAGGTTCCCTAGGAACTTCACGGTTCAAAAAAAACTTTAACCCCTTAAAAAGTGTTTTTAATTTCCTAATTCTCTCTGCTTCTTTTTTAGCTTCTGCAATTTTCTCTTCGCTATCGCCTTCACTAACAAAATCATCAATATTGACATCCTCTTCAAAAACATCATTAGATTTTGATATAGGGAAATTCAAGGCTAAAACTCTTTCAGACAAAAAAGCTGCTTCATCTACCAAGGCCTGATCATTTTGGTTTTGTACCATATTATTAAATTTAGGCGGATAAAACAAGTTGAAATCGTGATACAATTTATAGTTGACAAAACCCAATAAAAATGTATAAAATTCCACAAATGTAGACATTATTTTAAAGTCAACTTCTGCCTTGTGTTGGGGCTCAAACGCAAATTGATGAGGCACTATCCAAGTGATTGTTTCCCCTTTGATTTCAGCTTGATAATAATAACCTTTAATAGATACAAATACTTTTCTTAAGGCTTTTGTTTCAATAATGCAGTGCAAAAATTCCATTGTTAATCTTCTGCAAAGGGCTGATTGGTCTCTAGGCACATGGGCTAATGAAGGAAATGTACTAAACAAAAAGCACAAAGTCAAACAATCATCTAAATCCTTAAGAGCGTCTATAAATGTGGGATATCGTTCTTTGACAATATTGTCCAGAGGCATAGTGGGATGATTTTCCAAATATTGGTGCAACTTTGTTTTGTCTTTGACAGCCTTAGCCCGTGCCACTTTCTTATTAAACACTTTAGTATCTCTTAGATTGTGTATGAGGGGCTCGTGCATTAAAAACTGAATGTCTTTGACATGGTATAAGGTTTTAATGCCTGTGTGCCCTTTTTGGGCACGCTTACGGTTCCTAGGCTCTCTAGGGTATATTCCTTTCAGTATACATAAGCGCCTGAAGTCGTTTAGGGACAGCTGGAGCTTTTTTAGGGCCGCTTTTCTGGTCATGAATTGTGCACCTTCTCCAACGGAATACTGATTGAAAATAAGGCGTTATAAGAGGGAGGTTTTTATTAATTGAAAAGCTTACCTTCTTTTTGCGTTTTGCAACCATTTTTGGGGCTTTATTTGATGGAAATAGTTCACAAAATTGAAATCACACAACCTTTGATGATGATGAAAACACGTGAAGTAAAAGTTTGGTTATGTTGTTTATTTCGAATTCTATTGATAGAACCAGTGCAGACAAACTGTATGTTTGTCTCTTTCTTATACAAGCTGGTAGAAAAAGACATGAATAGGAACTAGGTTTGGTTTTCGCTTGCATTTTAGTGGATGTTCGTAGCGTTTTCTTTAAGACTAAGAGCGAAATAGTTTTTGATATTTTCATTTTTCTACTAACGTGCGTAAAGTACTTACTTTACGTAGTCTTCAAAAAACGTAAAATTAAATTTTCCGCACTAGTGTATAAAGTAATTTATTTTACACACTACTGCGTAAAAAATTGCTGAAAAAGTTTGATAAATTGTTATTGTATTAAAGTTTCAGAGTTTCAAGTATAAAGTTTAATATTATAAAAGCCTTTGCTGCTCTTTTTGGCATTGAAAATTTTATATATATATATTTACTTTACACCCTAAGTTGAGCAGTGAAGTTACTTTAAACACTAGGGCGTAAAGTCGTAATAAAGTCTGTTCGCGCAGAAATTAAAGGGCGGTTACACACGGACGTGGATGTCTTAACTTAATACATATAGGGCGGTTACACACGGACGTGTGGACGTCTTAATACATATACGTGCATACATCAACGTGCAACCAAGAACATGCATGGCGCTTTTGTACACACGCTCGTACAAAACTGCAGTCTTGCTATTCTTGCTACAGTGTTCCGAGTGTGCATACAAAATTGCACATTCAAAAACGCGACGATATTTTGTATACACATTGATGTTTTTGTTTGCACGTTCATGTATGTGCGTACATGTTTTCAGACATCCACGTCCGTGTGTAACCGCCTATACGTGCATACATCAACGTGCAAACAACAACGTGCATGGCGCTTTTGTACAGACGCTCGCACAAAACTGCAGTCGTGCTATTATGGGCGGTTACACACGGACGTGGATGTCTTAATACATATACGTGCATACATCAACGTGCAAACAACAACGTGCATGGCGCTTTTGTACAGACGCTCGCACAAAACTGCAGTCTTGCTATTCTTGCTACAGTGTTCCGAGTGTGCATACAAAATTGCACATTCAAAAACGCGACGATATTTTGTATACACATTGATGTTTTTGTTTGCACGTTCATGTATGTGCGTACATGTTTTCAGACATCCACGTCCGTGTGTAACCGCCTAAAGACCAGAGAGAATTTCATTGGTTGAAACTAGTTTTCTGATTATTTTTAATTTAACCACTGACTGGTTTGTGATTCCTGTTGCAACAGACGTATATTTTCTTAAATTTATGGTTTTTGAACTGTTAATGTTAATACTCAGACATAGCACAATAGGTCTTTAAAGACGTATTTTTTAGATCTGCATTACGTCTGAACCTGAACGTCTGAAAACCAAAGAAAAACGTCCAGAAGGCGTTGTTTATGAAAATAAAAAAATCATAAATTCACGTCTTAAAGAGGGTGTGACCCTAAAAAACGACTTAAACTACTTAAATCAAGAAAAAAATTCTAAGATCTCTCGTGAAAATCGCAGTCCTATATTCAAAATAGTTTCCGAGAAAATTCCTTGTGAAGATAAATTATGCAGAAACTTGTGATGTCACAACCGCCGAAATCGCAGTCTGTTCGTTCACTCGTCATAGTGAACTTGTTTTGGAAAATTCTTACACGTATTAATACTGTCCCTGATAATCCAATGTGACATCACAAACATCTAGTTGTAACTTTAAACCGCCCTAACTGGAAAACGGACCATCGTAGCAAGATGCGGTTTAAATATACAGGGTGTCAATTTGAAAACTTCCCACCCCTATTATCTCGGAGTAGAAAAATTTTCGAAAAAATCCCTGAAACACGTCAACTATAATTTGAGGGGGGATGAGTTTTTATGCAAAATTCACCTCCCCCCTTTCAACCCCCCAGCCCCCAGAGCCACCCCCTAGAAAATTTTAAATGGGAAGGGGGGTCGAGTGATACATCATTTTGGAGGGTTTTTGATTCCATACATTTTGGTACAAAATTTTAATCCCTAAGTTCAACTGTTTTGGAAATATTGACAGTTGAAAATAGACTTTTTTGCTACTTTGTCAGGCTGTAAAACCTAAAGGGTTAATTTTAGAGGAAAACCGATCTCACATTCTTGGATTTTCATAAACTATCATTTGACAGCAACTTCGAATTTAATCCACGATCAAAAATTCCGGTTGAAAATTTAATCTCTAAAATGTGTTTTTTTTTTAAGATAAAAGTCAAATTGACATTATGTTGGCAATACAATGTAAAATTGTCAATGCTTGCAATTTTTTTATGTAGAAAAGGCTTGTGTTGCCAACATAGTTACTAAATTTTTGACTTGGGGAATTATCTTTAAAAAAAAAACAGACTTTAGTTAAATTCAAAAATGGTGTCAAATGATAGTTTATGAAAATCTAAGACAAGAATGTAAGATCGGTTTTCCTCTGAAATTAACCGTTTGCCAAGTAGCAAAAAAGTCAATTTCCAACAGTCAATATTTCCAAAATAGTTGAACTTAGGGACTAAAATTTAGCACCAAAATGTATGGAAATAAAAACCCTAGAAAATGATGTATCACTCGACCCCCCTTCCCATTTAAAATTTTCTAGGGGTTGGCTCTGGGGGGTTGAAAGAGGGAAGGTGAATTTTGCATAAAAACTCATTCCCCTTCAAATTCCGAGATAATAGGGGTGGGAAGTTTTCAAATTGACACCCGTATATTCTTAAAATTTTTTGCACTACAACTTTCATTTTTGAGTCACACCCCCTTTAAAGACAATTTGGTACAACCCAGGTGAACCAGGCCTAGAAGTCAATAATGGTTTATGTATTAAAAAGAGATTCGAAGACGTCTTTAAGACATCTATCTCGTTGAAGACGTCTTAAAAATGTCTTAGTTCCAAAGACGTTTGAAAGACAAGATTTCTTCAAGACACCTTGAAAAGACCGTAAGCAAGACGTTTTGAATGTCGTTAATGGACATCTTAGGGACGTTTTTAAGATGTCTACAAAAACTTCCCACAGATTCCTTCTTCATATTCACTCTAGAAGTTGCTGGAAACTATTTAGAATGCTACAGAACACTTTAGAATTGTAATAAGCCTTTTGAAAAGTTCAAAATTCTTTATAAATTCAATTCAGAATTTCCAAAAGCATTCTATAGTCCGTCAAAACTCTGAAACTTTTTGAAAAGAGCCAGAATCTTAGGATTCAGGTGAAAAGTTACAAAATGCCTTTCAGAAGGCGTTCAACGAGCGAATTTAAATAACCTAAAACCTTTAATAAGCATCCAGGACAGTTCAAATCCAAATTAGAAATTTTCAGGTGTATTTTGGAACAATTCAGAAACTTCAGAGTTATTTCAAAACAATTAGGATTCAATTTAGAACTGGAAACCTTTTAGAACTCTTTTGAACCAATTTAGAACAGCATTTTGATAGACTTCAGAACAAATTTAAAAATCTCAAATTTATTTCAGAGAGCCTAGCTCCTGGAATAGACAAAAATTGATAGTTATAAAATGAGTAATACTTAATAATAAAATATTAGTCCTGAAGACGTCTTTAGGCAGACGTCTGAAAAACGTTCGGTTTTGTAATATACCACGTCTTTGAGATGCCTTTAAGACGCCTTTATGTAAGCAGACGTCTAAAAGACGTCTTGAAAGTCGTTTGTGGACATCTTAGGGACATCTTTAAGATATTTGAGAAATAGCACATTTTTACTACTTTTTTTCCATTTTATTCACTATTTAATTCTTAAATATTATTATTATTATCATTATAATCCATTTATTTAGCATTTGCTATAGTTACAAAGTTTACAAGCGAGTATAACGATTTGATACAATTTCTCTAATATAAAGAGGGATAAGCGATAATATAAAATAATATATATATAATTGAAAATTAAGATTAAGAAATTAAAGATATCGGGTCTTCAAAAAAAAAACCAATCAAAGATTGCTTTGGTTACGAAAACGTATGTCGCATTATTGTTTCTTTATTGGTCAGGATTTTTGACATAACATTTTGATATTAAATTTCATTGACTGACATTGTCAAAATTAAAGAAAAATATTGCTAAGACATACGTTTAAAAAACCATAGCAATCTTTGATTGGTTTTTTTTTTTGAAGACCCGATATAATACGCCGTGAAAACGAAATAAAAACATAAACACATCAAACAAAACATGTAAACAAAATCAGTAAACTATTATTGGTAAAGTTTGTTTCACCAGGGTTTGTACTTGCCACCAGCATTTGCCTTCCTTGTTTAATAAATGAAAATTGACTGAAACCAATTAATGACGTCAAAAACGTTCGTCGGTTCTTAAAACCAGAAGTTATTTATATTGAAATTTGTCAAAAAAATCGATTTTGTCATAAGACTTGTCACGTTTTAATTCCACTTGCCTATCATTGTGTAAAATGCCTCAACGATATTCAGAAGGTGAGCAAAATATGATTTCAAGCCTTATTTCCTACTTTACAAAGAAGCGAGAGGCAGGAAACCCCCTGTTACCATTTAAGTATGTTTTAGATGTGATTTTTTTTCTAAAATTTGGTACCTATCTGTATTCATATTAAAATTTAATGTTTGACTTTATTTCTTCGACTTGTGTAGAGAGTATCTGATGCCCTGGGAATTAGAATTACCACTGTTAAAAATATCAATGCGCATGAGATCAGGAGTGATATGGATCATAAGGCATCCACAACAGCTGCAATTCAGAGATCTCGTGGACGCCCTCTTTACAGGGTTCACGAGCATACCATTAGAAATAGAATATACGCAATGTTTGGTATAGGTATTCAAAATAAACTTGATTTAACTCCATTTTGACAAAAATATAACTAAATTCTTCCACAGGAGAACATGTCACAGTAGTTTCACTCCAAACTTATTTGCTAAATCTTGACGATGTGGAATATTCAAATGCTTCCCTATGTAGAGGTTTACGAGCATTAATTTTTGAGTGGCGGAAAGATATACTA